TTGATATCCACAATTTTCAATTGTACATAGTTTAGTCAAATAATTTTTCTTAAGTTCAACCATGAATGTAGAGCTTCAAAATAATCAAAGTATAGATTTATGATCATTAATTAAATCTAAAGAAGCTGTTGTATGAACTAAATCTTAACTTTGATTCAAAAAAAAAGTTGTCACTAAATCCAATCATTATTTTCCAATTAGCTTTTGTAGAAAAATAGTTATTGATTTATGTGAATTGATATATATCTATCATACTGATTTAAATAGATAATTAAAAACTCTGAGAAAGCAAAATCTAATTTTTGCAAAACTTATTTAAATCATATTATCTTTTTCAAATTAACTACTGTCTTTTATTTCTTTTATCATATATTACGCCCTATTTTATTGTTTATTCCAAAACTAATTTTTCAGATTTTATTTCAAATGGCTATTGAATAAGTGTTTATATTGTAGCTTTTATTAACATCGATATCCACAATTTTTCTATAGTTATTCATAATTGAATCTACTAAAACCTAAATAATCTCTTAATTGAACTTTAAAGCTTAAATAACTTTTTAATTAATCATTCACTCATTTGCAAAACATTAGTTTTGAGAAATTATTGATGATAAAATTAATTAATAATTCTAACTTAAATGAATTTTTTATTTTCAAGGGCAAAAATAAATAGAATTATGATATTATTTATAAAATCTAAAAATTAAGAAGTATTTCACTCTAAAATTAATGTATTGGGTTTAAGGCATTTAGAGATCAAGAAAATTCATATCAAGAAGTAAGAATAACAGGGATCATTTATAAAGGAAGAGAATTATTCTTTCAAAGAATCATTGCTTTGCTTAATATTAATGAATTTGTAGATAATTCATTAAAAGTGATTATCGTTAGATTCAATATGGTTTTTTTTAGATATTGGAGATATATATTTTTATAGAATGTACTGATAATCAACATAAAAAATAGACCTTATTAACAAAAAGAGAATAACAAGAAAATATAAGGCTTATGAATTGCATTTATTTCATTATTTATTATTTATAATATTCACTTCTTTTAAATAACTCCTTTCAAATAAATAAATCTAGAATAGATTTAAAACTTTTGAATCTCTGATTTATCTGTTTTAATACACAAATAATTGATTTATAACATAAAATCTGTATTTCTTAATCATATTTTTATGGTTTACTTATTAAGTATAACTCTAAATGATAATTTTCTAAACCTACTAAAAATTTAGTACCGTCAGGGCAATTTATTGACAGATATCAGAGTTTAAAATCCCATTTAACCAATTAACTTAAATATTTTTACATCCCATAAAGCTATTAAACTTTCAGCTGTTTCCTATTTTTATTGCCTCAAACTAATAAATCGCCTTTTTATGATAAAGATAGATACCTTCGCTTCAATTAAACTCCTAACTTAATCCTTTTTGTAATTAGAATAATTTTTTATTTCTTAAATTAATGCCATATTGATTTCATCTACAATTTCTTTTCATTTTAGTTTTTTTGTACTTCCAAAAAAATATTAACAATTGTATCAATTTCAAATTAATATCTTCTTATTTTTCGATAATTTTAAATTTTGAACTTATGTAAATTCCTTTAATTGAACTAGATATATTCTCTATATAAATTATGAACTTTTACATTTTCACCTAAATACTTAATAAAGGTTGTGTGCTTTATTATATTAGCATTGTCTTTTTATTTATTTTTGACCAAATAAATTATTAAGAGCTTTTGTTGTTTTAATTATCTATTAATTCTCTATTATATTTTCGTAAATATCAATTCAAATTTCTTAGTCATTAAGTTTTGACTCTACATCTATGTCTATTTTGAAACTAATTTATAGCTCTACTTATCAAATTAAAGTAAAAAATTTTATGTATAAAATTTTAAATGTCTCTAATAATTCTTTATTTGAATCTTAATGTTAAATATCATTAGTTTGTTCTACTTAAGCCACCATGGATTTTATGTTTTATCTTATGAAATATTAATTATTTCATTCATCTAATTTAAGAAAATAATCAAACACACATAAAAATCACACAATAACTAATCCTTACATGAAAAATTGTGCATTTATTTGCAGTTCAAAATAATATATTATATCAATCATTTATAAATTCAAATTTTTTCTTCAAATTAAGAATTCAAAACAGAAGAAAAATTTTCTAACTTCCAATTAGAAATGAAAAATTCCTTTATATCTGTTTTTTGTTATATTGGATTTTTTATTTTAATTCCATAATCCTCTAAATTTAAGAAATGAATTTAAATCATTAAATTGTATATTCTGAAAATTATCATTTCATATTTGAAATGGTTTTTATTAATTTCTTGCTGAAACCCATTTTGATTATAATCAAGAAAAACTGTATTACTATCGCGATAAGAAATCACATATTAAGTTTTTGTAATACTTTTACAATTTTTTCATGACAAACAATTAAATTTCTTTAAAATTATTTATGGGATTTCATTTTTTTCACCCATCTCATTTTTTTTATCCTATTCATTTTTTTTCATTTTTTTTCATTATTTCCTTCTTCTTAATTAGTTTAGAATAATTGAACTTTTTAATAATCAAATTATAAGAAATCATTAATAAAATTAATAAGATATTTTGTTTTTTCCAAATATTCAAAAAATTTTTTAATATTTTTTTAAGTTCTTCAAAAACTTCTTAAGATAATAATGTTTTTTCTACTGAAGCCTGGTGAGATCTAAATATTCTTTTATTTTACTCTTTTTTTAAACATATTTTCTAATAGAAAAACTTAAGGAAAATCACAATAGATATAATGAATCAACTATTTCAACTTATTTTAGTTATATTTCAATGATAATGCTGTTTATTATTTGAATAATATTTCATATACGTTCACTCTTATGAAATTAAATTCTTAAGAATCTTCTTATTCACTTCTAACAAAATGAAAGTTAGGATAAGAATCCCATAAGCTTTATTCTTTTGAAAATTATTGTTTCGCCAAGTTGAAAAAAATAGAAGCTATAACTGTATTTCTTTAAAATTGAATCTTCAAAAATATTAGGTTATGTATCAAATTAATAAAATTGCCTAATTACAATTGAATAGTAATTATTAAATAGTAGTAACATTTTTTAACCTTCTTATAGTCTCAATTATCAATCTATATAAAATAATATCGGTTGCGGTCTAAATCCAACAGAAATGCAAAATCCAATTATTTGATTCTTTTGTATATTTGTTAAAGAAAGTTTTTTAATTTTAAAATAAGTGATAAATTTGATATACTTTATTTATTATATATTTAGCAGTTTTCTTAAGACTAGACATTAAACATTAGATATTTCCATTTAAAGAATTGATTCTTACAGTATTATTAGCTCCATCAATCAATAATTTTTTTTCTTAAAGCATCATTTGATTAAGTTTTTAATTGTTCATAGAAGACAGAAACTTGTTTTAAAAAAGATTTAGAGTCAAATCTTAATGTTGAATTGTGTGAATAAATAATTCTCGATATGTCATTGCAAACTTAAGCAATTTAATCCAATAAACTTCTAAATAATGAAGTAGTATTTCTAAGAGATTTTAAAAATTAGTAATAATATCTGTTTTAATTATTTCATAGTTTTCTTATTCAAGGCACAATTTATTGAAAATTATTTGTTATAAATAAGCCATTAGATTTTTATTATTAATTCGTTTTTTCCAGACTAACTAATCAAATTGCTAATCCTTCTTGAATAACAGAAACAGAGGACTTAAATTCTTCTAAAAAAATGTTTGCTGTAAAATATTCTTCTGTTCAAATTATTTTTGATTATTTTCATTTGTAAGAATTATTTCCAAATGTTTTTGGGGCTATTCAGATCTACAAAAATTTGATAATTCATATCCTCCTGCCTTTAATTGAGAAATCCATGGTTGATTTTCAAAGTCTGAAATATTTCTCAGGAAAAATCAGATATTTCCATATGTGGTATATTTTTAATGTAGAATAGATGCACATACAGAATTAAATCTATTTGTAGATGATCCTAAAATTTAATGTTATTATTTAATAAATGATTTTGATACCAAATCATTTAAAGAAAAAGAAAAATATAATTCTTATTTCTAAACTCAGGAGTAAATTGATAATCCTGTTAGGTTTATTGAGGATGAGGTTAATTAAAGAACTGAAAATATTCGATAATAATTTATAGAGTAATATAGTCAGAAACTAACAGAGAATGTAAATAATAATTTAAATTTGATTCTTTCAAAATTTTCAATCATAAAAGATAAAACTATTGAAAAATTCAAAAGCTATCTAGTTCTTCATCTAATTAAAAAATCTTTAAGATGCTACCAAGATTTCACATCAAATAGAAATAAAATATTTGGTAGGAAGTTAAAGTAATGAAGATTTAGATAATATATAGGATAAATTTAAGGACATTTTTTTTAATTCAAATGATCATTGTAAAATAGATGAATAATTGTTAAAAGCAAGCAAATGATCATAGAATATACATTTTGTCAAATTTTGTTTCAGGATTCATCACTTGAAGTAAAAGAATAAAATATTTAACTTGGACATTTACAGGTTTCAATTAATTTTATTGAATAGTAAATTTAAAAAATAAGATATATGTCGAACTAGGAGATGATATAGATGTAAATAAAGTTGGTCATAATCATTAATGAAGAAATGAGCATTTAATAAGAAGTATGGCTGTATTCTTGTAGATCAGAAGCCTTTTTTGTATTCATGCGAAGAGATTTAAAATAAATTCTAAGTTTAGGATTTTAATTCAGATGATAGAATTTAAATGAAATAAATTAGGAATATGTATTAAGATTGGGATATTCCTTAGCAATATGATGATAAAAATGCTAATACTAAGAATAATGTAATATGGAGTAGTATTGATCAAATTATTAAAATAATCGATTTGGAAGGGATGGAAGAAGATTTACTTTTAATGAAAAACAAGGTGATTTTTTAGGAAAACTATCATTATGTTGTTTTATTAGATTATTCTGGATCTATGTCAGAAAATAGATTTAATCGAGCATAAATAAAATAATTTCATTTTTATCATCAGCATAACAGAATTAGAATATCGAGTTGCCATCATAATCTTCAAATATAAAGCTAGATGTGTGGTAGACTTTTAACATATAGACATGCAAACTATAAACATTGTCGTAGTATGTAATGGAGAAAGTACTAGCTTTTAAAGTGCCTTCTAAGTAGCTTATGAAAAAAAATCAGGCTGTAAGTAACTTTCATTAACATAATAGGTAAAATATTTAAATCAATCTAGGCATATAGGATTTTTTTTATACCGAATGTGAAGATTCATATCCTACTTAGGCATTGGCGCAGTTCGCAAGAATGCCATTTTCATAGAGAATGAAAATAGATTTGATTTTTTGTGGTCTTGATAAATAATAAAAGATAATGATCGACATTACTGATTTCTTCAACATAAATAGCTTTTTTGGGAAATTGCAAGAATCAATGTAGCCTTCATAAATAGGAGAAACCTGGATTAAGTAATAATAGACATTTTGATATGATAGATTATCATAAATATTATATCAAAACATAGAAGATTTATAATTTGTAATGAATAAACTCTTCAGAAAAAAATATAAAATTTCTAGAATTTCTTTATTACATTTATTTATTTTGCAAATTTTTTATTTAGAACAATCATTTAAATTAAAAACAAACCGTTTTTATTGCTTTTCTTCTTTTTTCTATTTTATATAAATTTTATTCCACAATTTGAATGTTTTATAAAGATCTATATGTATATTCAAGTTTGATATTATTTAAAAAACATTACTATTATATCTATAACAACTTAATTAAAATTTTTAACATATAATTATATTTCCTGATGATAAATGTGGCTACTTAGAGAGCTCTTTTTGATTTTTCCTAAAATGGTTCACTTCATAATCTGAGTTAGTTCCTTTTGATTAATATGCTTTTCTGGCTCTTTTATCAAAATTTAAAAACAACATATCGAGAAGAGATAGATAAAGAGGATAATTGATAGAACTATAACTATTTTCAATTTTGAGTATGAAAAGAGTTTTAGACATTTAAAAGAAGGAGATATAATTAATGGTTAGTTGAAATGAAAAAAGATAAGAAAAAGAATGGATGAAAAAATGTCTCTCTATATAAAGAAGTAGGAGAACGAGTTTTTCCTCTTCTTTTATTAATAGAAGATCTTAACTCTAATATAAAGGATGAATAAATGAATATTTTTGAAGGTGATATATTTAAAAGAACTGTAACATGCAAATTAAATATTATATAGCGATAGAAAAACTCTTTAAATTTTCAATTATAAATAANTATAATTATATTTCCTGATGATAAATGTGGCTACTTAGAGAGCTCTTTTTGATTTTTCCTAAAATGGTTCAGAATGGAGACTTCATAATCTGAGTTAGTTCCTTTTGATTAATATGCTTTTCTTGCTCTTTTATCAAAATTTAAAAACAACATATCGAGAAGAGATAGATAAAGAGGATAATTGATAGAACTATAACTATTTTCAATTTTGAGTATGAAAAGAGTTTTAGATATTTAAAAGAAGGAGATATAATTAATGGTTAGTTGAAATGAAAAAAGATAAGAAAAAGAATGGATGAAAAAATGTCTCTCTATATAAAGAAGTAGGAGAACGAGTTTTTCCTCTTCTTTTATTAATAGAAGATCTTAACTCTAATATAAAGGATGAATAAATGAATATTTTTGAAGGTGATATATTTAAAAGAACTGTAACATGCAAATTAAATATTATATAGCGATAGAAAAACTCTTTAAATTTTCAATTATAAATAATACAAGTAACATGACCATTAAGAGCAACTCTCAGCAACTTTTACTAAAGATAAGATCGTTACTTTGAAAAACAACTTACAACTATAATTCTAATAATCATTAAAAATTGTTGAATACACAAGTAAGAAATATTTTAAATGTATATCTTAAGTGATCATCTGTTCCTAACTGGCATTTATATACTCCAAAGATTACTCTATGAAAAATTAGAAAAAAGCTTTGAATAATAAAAAAGAAATTAAGTTTGAAATATTAATAGTGCAGAAAATATTTTCATATCTTCATCTTCCTGTCAATGGTATATTTGTCTATAAAGATGGGTCTTGCTATTTAAATCCTATTTTCATTTTAGATATTCACTAACATGATCTAAGGTCATCCTAAATTAGAATTTCTCTTTTTTAAGCTATGTGAATTAGTTTATTGCTATCATCTTCTTCCAAAATTTTTATTTCCACATCAATAATCATTGATCTGTTATGGCAATCTTAAGATATTTGAAAAAATATTGTATCTGTAGGAATTATAAGAGTAGGTATCTGAAATAATCTTATAGGATATATATTTGATTTTGCTTAACTTATAATTCATCATTTTTATCTGGCTCTCAAAGGTTAAAATATTTTACCACAATAATAAATCATCATTCCTAAATATTAGCATTTTGCTTATAGTTATAAAGCTTTCTTTCTCTATTTAATTTATTTCACTTTAAACTAATCCAGTTTTTGTCTCATTAGTTCTAGATTCTGTTTAATACTAAAGTTGATAGCAATTAGAAATATTTTTGATATAAGAATTATTAAAAATAAAAACCAAATCCTCATGGATAAAAATGAAAATAAGTCCCACTTTTTTCTTAGATAGCTTGTGAAAATATTCTTATTGATATTCAGGAAACGTTTTGGATCCAGGATTCCTTGAGAAATATCTTTTGAATAATTGAAGAAGCTTCTATTTTGTATGATTTGATAGAAAAATATTAGATTATATTTTAATCTTTTTGATTATTATTTTAAAATAAAATTTATTTCAATAAATTTCAAGTTTTTAATATTATTCAATAACTTTTGGCTTATATGGTTAAATCCATAGAAAAGTAAAACCTTTAGTAATAAATGTATAATTATTTTAATAATATATAATTAATTCATGCCTATGAATGCTCATATTCTAATTTCTTTTCCGTGTAGTTTATTCCGTGCTTACTCAAATATAAAATACCTTTGGAAAAAACTAATTGCCATGATTTCTTGTCTTCACTACAATATTTTTCTAAATAAAGTAAAATTAGCAAAGTATTCCATACATCATCTTTTAGGCCTTATTCATTGTTTAAGTTATTAAAGTTTATTTTTAATTAAATATCATTATTTATCTTGAAACTTCCATCTGCTTATGCGAATTAAATCAATTAATTATAGGAGAGCTTAACATTTAGTTCATCTTTCTTTATATCTGATAATTTTTGTAGTTGAAGTTGTGCATTCATTTGCATAGGGAAATCCTTCATTTCTGCACATTATTCTAATCGCAAATTTTCCATAGGTGAACACATAAATGGCCGAAGTGGTACTATTTGCATGCATGGTGAGCACATTGGCATTGGTCTCGGTTGTGAACAAAACTATGGAGGTGCCATACATTATTGCATTCCAGCAGATTTAGCATAGAAATGGTTTTCAAGAAATTTAGGTCTTTAAGGTATTTATATAGTNATCATCTGTTCCTAACTGGCATTTATATACTCCAAAGATTACTCTATGAAAAATTAGAAAAAAGCTTTGAATAATAAAAAAGAAATTAAGTTTGAAATATTAATAGTGCAGAAAATATTTTCATATCTTCATCTTCCTGTCAATGGTATATTTGTCTATAAAGATGGGTCTTGCTATTTAAATCCTATTTTCATTTTAGATATTCACTAACATGATCTAAGGTCATCCTAAATTAGAATTTCTCTTTTTTAAGCTATGTGAATTAGTTTATTGCTATCATCTTCTTCCAAAATTTTTATTTCCACATCAATAATCATTGATCTGTTATGGCAATCTTAAGATATTTGAAAAATTATTGTATCTTTAGGAATTATAAGAGTAGGTATCTGAAATAATCTTATAGGATATATATTTGATTTTGCTTTACTTATAATTCATCATTTTTATCTGGCTCTCAAAGGCTAAAATATATTACCCCAATAATAAATCATCATTCCTAAATATTAGCATTTTGCTTATAGTTATAAAGCTTTCTTTCTCTATTTAATTTATTTCACTTTAAACTAATCCAGTTTTTGTCTCATTAATTCTAGATTCTGTTTAATACTAAAGTTGATAGCAATTAGAAATATTTTTGATATAAGAATTATTAAAAATAAAAACCAAATCCTCATAGCTAAAAATGAAAATAAGTCCCACTTTTTTCTTAGATAGCTTTTGTAAATATTCATATTGATATTCAGGAAAAGTTTGGGATCTAGGATTCCTTGAGAAATATTTTTTGAATAATTTATTTCAATAAATTTCAAGTTTTTAATATTATTCAATAACTTTTGGCTTATACGGTTAAATCCAGAGAAAAGTAAAACCTTTAGTAATAAATGTATAATTATTTTAATAATATATATTTAATTCATGCCTATGAATGTTCATATTCTAATTTCTTTTCCGTGTAGTTTATTCCGTGCTTACTCAAATATAAAATACCTTTGGAAAAAACTAATTGCCATGATTTCTTGTCTTCACTACAATATTTTTCTAAATAAAGTAAAATTAGCAAAGTATTCCATACATCATCTTTTAGGCCTTATTCATTGTTTAAGTTATTAAAGTTTATTTTTAATTAAATATCATTACTTATCTTGAAACTTCCATCTGCTTATGCGAATTAAATCAATTAATTATAGGAGAGCTTAACATTTAGTTCATCTTTATTTATATCTGATAATTTTTGTAGTTGAAGTTGTGCATTCATTTGCATAGGGAAATCCTTCATTTGTGCACATTATTCTTATCGCAAATTTTCCATAGGTGAACACATAAATTTAGGTCGAACAGTTCTACAACGTGGATATTGCATTTACTATGGCCTAGGTAGTACTATTGCATTGGATTGTGAGCACATTGTTTGTAAAGGCATGTTCATTATCTGTGATGAACCACACTATGGATAAAACATAGATTATTGCATTCCAACACACCGTAATTGTTAATCTTAGAAATGGTTTTCAAGACGTTTAGGTCTTTAAGGTATTTATATTTTTGACCTCGCTTACTATTTAAATTGATCTTCTAGTTCACATATTTCACAAACAAATGCTGTTTTATTGCTCAATATTTGATTCTCTACTGATAAATTGACTATATCCTCATCATCAAGATATTTTTTGTTAAGTTTAATAAAATTAACTTATTATTCTCCATATTTCAAAGCATTTTCGTAATAAGTAATAAACTTGTGAGCAGCCAATTTATGAAAATATTCATTGTCCTTAGATTAATTTAAATTTAAATTCACATTATAATTTATTTGCTTTTGATCTTATGAATCAAAGCAATTGATTTTAAATTGAATATTGTCTTAATCCTATTAACTGGAGAAAAGTATTTATATTGTTAATTCCTAATTTTTTTTTAAACTAACAATTGATTCAGGATCTGGAATGATTGAAGAAATTTTGATTGCATTAGTTTCTACTTTAAAAGCCTTCAAATATGGGGTTAAAGAATCTTCCAACAAGTCAATTACTTTAGCATTAATGTCTTCATTATCACTTAAAAAATGAAACTTCCCATTACCAACTTCAGCCATCCGTTTTATTAAATATTAATTACATCCCGATCCAATTCCTAAGGTATAAATTCTCGTTTCTGCTCTATTGTTATTCTAAACTAATTCAATAATAGGTTTTGCAGTATCTTCTCCATCAGTTAACAAAAATACATTCAAAATTGTCTCATTTGATGTTCCGTAACTACTATTATATACCATTTCTTTCAAAGAAGTGTAAATCTCAGTACCTCCCATATCTGCATTCATGTTATCTACACATTTAATTGCCTCATCTAAAGTTTCTTAGTTATATTGCTTTGATTCATTCCAAATTGAAATATATTTACTACCAAATGATATTATATTAAAATAAGAATCTTAAGGTAAGCTTTTCAAAAAGAGAATTAAAGATTCCTTTGCTCTCTTAATTCTTTATCCATTCATTGATCCACTTCTATCAATAAAAAATAAGTAATTTCCTCTGTTTAAAACTTAATTATATGGTAAGCTTAAACTATCAAGATATTATGTGTAAGCATCATCTAGAGATACCTAATTAAATTTTGGAATAAAGGTTAACGTAGCACAATATTTCTAATATTCTAATGCGTCATTGTTGGTATGACTCAGTATGGCCCTTGGAAGATTAATGTCATCAGAAGAAAAAAGCAATGTAAATTGTTTTTCAGGATTTTAATTTTCAGGAATATTATCTAACCTAAGAATTATTTTATTGTTTTTTCCATCTTATTTAGCATCATCGACATCTGTAGAATGAAGTTTATGAGTTGGAGATTTCCAAAAAGTTATGTGAGATCCAGTATCAAATGTAATCTGTATGTCTTATTTATATAAAAATTTAAAGTCTTTCAATTTAAATTTTGAATTTAGATAATTAATAATCTAACTATTCTGGCTTTGACTCTTATCTTTTTAGTGTAAATAATTGTTATCAATTATTGGATTAATGTCAATTTTCCAAAATTTGTTTAAGAAGACATCTTAAGGTTGAACATATTAAAAAATAATTTTTAGTTCTTTTTTTGGAGCAAGTTACCCTATTCTTACTCTTTTTATTTAAGAAAATTCTTTATCTTCCTCACTATAAACCATAGTTTTTCCTTGGTTCATTCCATTGTTATATTCTATCTGAGCTTCCTCTTTTTCCTTTATTATTCCATAAACTACTTTTTCTCCTAATTCAACTTTCATTTTCGTGACAGCTGCATTCTCATTGATTGAAAATACATATTCGAGCTCCAAAGGATAATCATAGTTTTCAGTAGAATATATTTGTTACAATTCTACGACTGATAAACCTTGAAGGATAGTTAAATGATAATTAACATTTTTCAATGGTATTATAGTATTTCTTTAGACATCATAGCAGACTTAAATATAGGATGCTGATATGATTTTATCTTCATTTTTGATCCCTCTCTATTATAATGAGTTATTTATTATTTTTGGTTGATAGAATTAGTCATCTATCATTTGGTAAATATCATAATTAACAAAGATCTCAAAAACTTATGAATCCAATTGTTCTGACTAATGCTGAAAACATAATTCTATTATAAATTTTATAGTGTTCAAATTAGAATGAAAAAAAGAATTGATCAATGTTAAGTTTAAACTCTTCGATTTAAAAGCTTTAGCTAAACTTTATCTGAGAATAGCATATAACAATTCAACAAAAATTTCCAATAATAATGAAAATTTATTAAGTTGATATGGAAGGGAATGGTTGGCAACAATAATTTGACTTCTTTAATTAGAAAAAGATTTTTAAGTATTTTCCTTTTCCTATTACAAATTCTGAGTGTCTTTATTGATTAAAATTTTTTATTTTTCGCCTTTAATAATAATTTACTGCGAGATTGATTAAGTAGAAAAATAAATTTTTTTTTCATTCATTACTAAATCCCTCCTTGAGATCTGATATTCAAAGTTAAGAATTATATTTTTCCTTGTTAATGGAGATAAATTAGTATCTTCTCCTAATATAAATAAAGGAAATAAACTTTTGTAAGAAAAGACATGATATAGTTGGTTTAGAATACCTGTTAAGAATCTATATTAATCTTGACGATTAATAAAATTATAATTCTCAATCAAGTACAAATATTTTTGCAATCCAAAATAAATATTAATTAATCTCTTAGGTGATAATTATTTAAAATCCCTAAATTTTATTTAATAAATATTAATATTTCTTTCTTTCTAACATCTTAATGTTGGTTTTCATGTCTTAAATTTGAGGAGAATAAGATTAGAAGAATTATAAAATGATTGATCATATGAACTTGAAGAAGCTCCTTCTTGATTAATTAATTAAGAAATTAATTAGAAGCAGGTTAGAAAAAAACTTTGAGCATTCTTTAAGTCCAATCATTTATTTATAGAGACTGAATTAAAAATTTAGAATAGATTTCCCTTAATTGTTTTATTTTGTATCTCTTCAATCTCATTAGCGATAATCGCTGTTATAACATTTCTTTTGAGAGAAATTCTTTAAGTTAATTTAGATTTAGCTTAAAAACATGAATTCCTTCAGAAATTCTCATTATTAATAGCCTATCCAAAAATTTATTAGATTCCAACCAATAGCTTTAGCATTAATATTAATAGAGCTATAATGATTTCTTCTTTATTGTTAAATTTAACTAAAAATTCTTTATGGCTTAATTCTATTAAATTACAAGCAAGAGATTCAAGCTAACTTTGAAGTAAGAGTAAATGAATTGAAAATTCAAGCTTATAAATTCCTTTTTAATTAGAATATAATCAATCAATATCTCAATTTTTGACATGTATTTGGAGTAAGAAAGCTATCTGTTCTAAACTCTCTTTTCAATTTTCAAAATAGAAATTAAATTTCAAGATTTATACACTACAATGCTGTGCAGTTTTTATATTCCTGGATAATTGATATATCAATATTAGTATTATTTTTTTTTAAATTATATGCATATTTTTTAATTACAATCAAAAATAAATGGACATATATTCTAAAAGTATTTGTTTTATATTTGACTCTTTTTAGTATTTAATTAACTATAATTTAGTACTGAAAAACATTTACTAATATTTGACCTTCTATTTATGATTTTTTAATAATACATAGTTTTAAATTATTACGTTAGTTAATTAAACATCGATTTTGCAAATATTAATATTTGAATATAGACAATCTATATTAAGAATTATACTTTTATTCAATAAAATTGTAAATTTTAAACAAGATTTTAATTGAAAATAGTTAATTGAGTGATTTTAAGATCTATTATTATATTTGATTTATAGGAAGCATTTCTATTGGATGTACAATAATTTATTAATATGAATAAGTTTATAGAACCTCACTATTATAAAGCGGAATGTTGTATATGATTTTCATATTTTTTTAGAGAAATTTATATTTGTAAATAATCTTGTTTTTATGATTAATAAATCATTACTAATTCATAAATAAAGATTTTTATTTTATAAATAGGAATTTACATCTTAAATATATAAAACTAAATGATCGAATTTTTAGAAACTCAGGTTTTTAGCATAATTTCTAAATTCTAATATTGTATTAAAAATTTCCTATAATTTTTGTATCAATTTTTTAAGATAAACTTCTATTCTTATTCATATATTTTTAGACTTTAATCTTTAGAAAATGATGGAATATACTAACTTTAAATTCTTAATAATTTATTAGAAAATGTTATCCTATAAAATTCAACACACTTTATTATTATCAAACAAAATTTCATGTAATTCTTCAATTATCTATGTCTGGAACAGAATAAAATCGCTCTTCTCTGCATTCAACGGTTTTAAATTCAAAATTTTGTTACAAATCAGATGCTTCAAGCCCACCGTTTAAAAGGTTTTCAAAATAAGATTCTCTTGATAACCTGCCTTTTAGATATCTAAAATATATAATAATGATCAAGTATATTAAGAATCCTGAAAATCCAACAAAAAATGCACTTCCTAATCCACTACAATCTATTTATGATATCAATATTGATTACAATATCCATCTATTCCAAAAATAAAAATGAATAGTATCACATAATATAAGCATAATAAAAGTATTATAAAAATTTAATATTTCTTAGCCTTATAAATAAGTTTAGGAGACAAAATTTGATTTTTCAATTCATTTTTGATATTCATCATTCTATAAATATCAAAGATCATAATAAGAACAATTAAAATAAGAATGCTACTTAGAATATATCTAAATATATTAAAATCTTAAGATTTCAAACAATGATCCATTGGATATTATTCTGATGTTGAAACATTCGAACACAGATTGCTTAATTAATATATTTATACTTATTATGAAAGCAATTATCTCCTTAACAACTATAATAAAAAGAGATCCACAATTTATTAGCTTCTAATTTATAAGGAGTATAAAGCTTATAATATGACAACATAAAAATTTAAGCTATATGAAAAAAAGTACTTACTTATTATAACAAGAATTTCTATAATTATAAATAGCTAAAATGTGTGTTTTATCAATCTGATGTTTTAGGACCGGTTTATAACAATTAATTTTTCTTAATTTTCTGATTATCTGGCAGTAGGATCCATCGGATATTAGTTTTAATTTTATTATTAGATTAATTTTTATAATTAAGCCAAATTAATTTATAAAAGATCATCTAATATAAATATAGACCAATAGAATTAGGGTTTATATAATTTATATATAATAAATGATTAGAAAAATTAGTCTAATTTCTTAAGTAAAAGTCATTTTTGAAATATGAACAGATCTCTCAACTTTTTAATATCTAAACATTTAAGATAGAAATTTTTTTTTATTTCTTTTGATTATTAAATTTAAACTATTCCTACAAACAATAAGCTCCTATTTAAGAAGTATTTGATAAGAAATATCGTAATACATTTTTTATTTTATGTAAATAATATAAATATATTTTAAATCACTTCATAGAAAACCATAACATTTTATTATAAACTTATTTTATGTGTGGCAAAGTATTATATGGTTTTTTAATTCATATAGTTTTCATTGGAAAAGCCTTTTAAATAACCTTAAAGAAAATTGATAACTCTGTAGTTTACCTTGTTATTTTAGTATGAAAAATTCTTTTATCAGATGTTTTCTTAATTTAATATCTTTATTATTGATTAAATCAAAGTATATGAAATAACATCATCTTTTTTTTTATTTTTTCATCGTCTTATAACTTATTAGAGAATTCAAGTATTAAAAGTTTGCTAATTCTAAATGAAAATGAGAAAAAATATTTTTCTATTAAGATTAATGATATGAGACAAATGTAGAGAGATTATATTTTTAAAAAAATTTAAAAGAATTTTACCTCAAGAATAAATAAATAATTCTTTATTTTTTAAAGCATTAAATATATATATTATAATAAAGAAATTAAATTAACTTATATTTATATATATATTATAATCAATAAAACTGAAATATTATCTATTTGAATAAATGATTTTAGTTTACAGCAAAAAATCAGAATAAATTAGTTTTCTCTCATATCTAAAAAATAATGAAATTAAAAAATGATAACAAATCTATCTCTTTTTCTTATAAATCTCAGATGTTGCAGTCACTGAAATATATTAGTTTGTGCTAATAATAATTTAAATGTACTAGAATTTAAATTAATTGCTACGATGAATAAATATTTTTAATTCACATTAATAGTTGCATAATTAATTTAATTCAATATGAAGCGAATTAAAATATTTTTTATCACACTAACTCGTTTTATAAAAATAATTTCATGCTTGAAAAACCATTCCACATACATATTCAAAGAGTATAATATTTCGTGTGGAAATATTTTTTTTAATTTATGATAGCATTTTAAGATATATTTAAATTTTCATTAAGATAATTCATACATTTTTCTAATCATCACCGAGAGCACAAAATAATTAACTCAATATTTTTATTGCCCTAAGTTCTATATTTAAATTAAAAATAATTAAATCTTATTTATATATTCTAAATTCAATATAAATATTGATAGAAATTTTATTTTTTATAATAGTACATAATTAAAAATAATGGAAAAGATTGACTGGTTACTATTTCCAAATTCTATACAAATAATCTTTTTAATTAAAGCAATAGATTGTTAATCCGAAAAGCAAAATTCTAGTTACAAAGGATAAAATTATTATTCTTTGAATTTTTTTATAAATTAGGATATTTTATTTGAAGAATAAATGATTCTTTTAAGTATACTATTTTCATTTTTATACATTTATTTTTTTAAATAAATTAAGTATTATTATTAATAATAAACTTATAATTTTTATTTTGATCGAATCATCAACGATGATTTTTACATCTAAACTCTAAAACATATTACTTGATACTTTCTATTTAAAATTATCAAGTGTTTTTAGGAATTATATTCAAAATCAGAAGAAAACTAGTCCATTTTTTATCAAAAAATTAAAGGTCTTAAATTTATTTCACTATTTTTTTAAAATATATGATGAAGAAGACCAACTGAAATAATCTTCATAAACATAAAACACAATTTTAATATTATAAAAATTTAATAATCATAACCCAAAGAAGAAACTTCATTAGAAAATATATTTAGAGCTATTTGTTTGAGATTTAGTAATTAAAGCCTATATAATCAAATCAGTTTAAAAAATGTGCAAAATAAAAACTTTATCTTGAACAAAAGCCTTTTAAGTTTGTTTCTATTCCTAACGATTATTGACATAATTAAAAAATAAAATAAAATTATTGTGTGTTAATTTATTATAAATTAAAATGTTTAAGATAGATTTTGATTAATTCATAATATTAAGTAAATGATTTTTTATTCACAATTTATATTATGTTGCTTTGTTTTTTACCTTAATGCCTAATGGTCGTCTCAAGAGACATTTTTGACTCATTACTAATTGTTTGTAGAAACTACAAACTCATTAGCATATAATTATGCAGGTGGATTTGTAAAAACGACGCAACCCCTATCAACTGCTTATTTTATCAATTGCACAAGCCCTTCTACAAGCTATATCACACTAAATAAAGAAAACTCGAGTGCTAAATAACATTATATTGAATCTATATAGAGTGGAGGCCTTATTTCCATTGATCTGTATTTCCATGATACATGGTCTAATGAAGCTATCACTTTTACATTTGGAACATTTACATACACCTATCCCTACACTTCCCCAACAAATTATCCTTTGACAACTGGATTTTGTGATTCCATACTTTATGACGTCAAAACCATAAATCTTACAATACCATCCTCAGTTTCTGGTTATGTAACATTATCATCATCAATAACTGGGAATGGATAAGTTTCAATAAGAAATATTATATTTTCTGAAGGGAAAATCACTTTTTATCCATCATGTTCATTATGTACAGGGCCTGAATACAATTAATGTACATCATGCTATTACGGATTACCAACCAATAATATTTGCCCTTAATGCCCTTTAAATTTATTTTATAGATAAAATTAGGGTTGCAAAGAAAATTGTCCATTTGATTCTCAAAACTATGTCAATGGATTCTGTTAAAGCTATAATTGTATGTATGCTTATAAATGTTAGAATATACTGACGTTAGTTCTAGTTTCTACTCATCAACTTCTGATTCAACCCTTTTCCAATATTCTTTGATCTATGATCCATAAAATATCGATACTAGTCCATCGCTTATCTATGCTAATTATGATTATTTATTCGGGATATTTAAATTTAACTCAGGATTTTATAGATTCATTAGTTTATCAACCTCAATTTATAAAAATTATTTAGTAGGTCTGAAAATAGAACTTTGGATTTTTAATAATATACCCTTAGGAAGGGGAGTAGAAATTAAAATTAATAATACTTATTATGGTTCAATTTTCTAAACAACTTAAGGAGTTTAAACTCATAAAATCAAAATTGAAAATACCAAGTCTATTTCTAGTTGTTATTCACCATACACTATTTGTAAGAGATATGAATTATACGGATTTTTTGATATACCTCCATACTCATTTCTATTAACAGCATTAGGGAATTATACGTAATATGAATTATTTAAAACTATTCTAGAAATTCAGAGGGCGGATGGGGAATCAGCATGATTAGAGTTACAAAAGGATATTGTTCCTCATCATGCTTGATCTAGGATGTACCTTTTTTCTGCTTAACTTGCAGAAGTGGATATTATAAAAATAGATAAGGTACTTGCGTATCTACCTGTTCTCAACCTTATTAGAGTCTTATTAATTCATTATGTCAAGATTATGGTAATGAAACACCTTGTAAGAATATATTTTAATTTAGATTCTAAATATTTAATTAAAGAATATATAAATTTAGCAAATGACCCTACATAATACTCAAAGTATGTTTTGTTATCTCAAAATGGTATTAATTTCTTGAAAGGTTCAAGTATTTACTATTCTTATTGGAATTCTATAAGAGTATTTGGAGGTCAATATGTATGGGCTTAGGCTAAATTTTCAAGAACATTTAATTAATTAAATCCTCATCATAGTGTTACTCAGTTGATTCTATTATTTAAGTTTAAAAATCATTAAGCAATGGTTATTTTACTAATACAGATAATACAAAATATCAGAGAATTCAGGAGAGATTAGGACATAATTAAAATACAATGACAATTACATGGGAATGCTTTGGACCAAATAATGAACCTTTATCAGCATATTGTGCTGTTTATAACTTTTATATTGCCGTTCATTATTGTCAGCCATATTGTTTATCTTGTACAGATTAATAGACATGCACATAATGGGATATTACTTATAACTCTAATGTAATTAAGTTTTCTTAAGTGGAATGCTTATCTAATTAATATTATTTTAAACCTACTCTTAGTTTTTTAGATTGTCCTTCTTCTTGTTTGAGTTGCACTTCTCAACTTCATTGTTTAACTTGCTAAACCTCCTATATCTAGACAAAAGAAGGGAGTGTTTGTAAAATAAATCAGTATGAATACTAAAACTAATGTTATGATTGTCCTATAGAATGTAATTAATGTTTAAGTGCAACTTATTGTATAGAATGTTTAACAATAAATAATATAAGACTTTTAAATGGATAATGTGTTTGTATTGATGGTTATTATCCAATAATTGATAAATTTTGTGAAACTTGTTCTGGTCCAACAAATAATGATTGTATGACTTGCAAAAATATAAGTATGATCGAAAAAATAGGATCTACTTGCTCATGTCCATTGGGTACAAGCTATTAAGAATAAACAAATTCATGTAATTCATGCCATTTTTCTTGTTAAACATGCTTTAGAGCAAGTATTAATGGTTGTCTTACTTGTAATTCATTATAATTTCGTGTTTTAAAAGATTTAGAATGTGCTTGTCAACCTGGATATTATGAGGTGAACAATGATTGTATAGGTATTAAATTTAATAATACATAGCCTGTCCAATAGAATTAGATAGTACTTTAAGTTAATGTTATAAATAATGCAATAATAATTCATAAATTTGGCATTCTTAAAATTGCCTTTAATGCGATTCTGGGTTTATAATAAAATTTGGTGAATGTCGTCCTATTTGTGGTGATTTATAAGTTTTAGGATATGAATAATGTGAAGATGGAAATTCTATATTTGATGATAAATGTTATAATTGTTAATTTTAATGCCCACAAAATTTTTTGACTTGTGATTCATATACAGTTTTACCTTGTCCTGATATATGTGGAGATGGTATAATCACAGGTAATGAAGAATGTGAGGATGGTAATTCTATTGAATATGATGGATGTTATAATTTTCGATATTAATGTTAACCTGCATGCACAAAATGTATTAAAGGATTATGTTATGAATGTGCAACAAATGGATGGTAAATAGATCCTACGTAGACTCCTTGGGTTTGCAAAGAAAAATGTGGAGATGGTATAATAGTTGGTTCTGAATAATGTGAAGATGGAAATATTATTGACACAGATGGATGCAAAGATTGTCGATATTTTTGTAGATTAGGTTGTTTATCTTGTGATTAAAATACAAATACTTGCTTGAGTTGTAACACTGGATTTAAACCAGTGTCATTTTATTGCTAAAAAATATGTGGAGATGGACTGATTGTGACAGATCCAACTGGATTTCATTCTGAATAATGTGATGACAAGAATATACTTATTTTAAGATAATAAATAAATAATTCTAAATTAAAATACTATTTCTACTGATGGATGTAATGGTATTTGTTAATATTAATGTCAATCATCCGTTATTTGTTTAACTTGCCTTAATCAAAGATGTGAGAGTTGTGCCACAGGATATATACTTTCACTAGACAAAGTTTGTATTCCTATATGCGGAGATTCAATCAAAGTATCATAAGAAATTTGTGAAGATGGATTAATTCTGCCCTACTAAGGTTGCTAAAATTGTAAACCTAAATTTTAACCTTCATGTTTATACTGTGGTACATCAGATTAGGGATGCACAATTTGTAAAACAGGCTATAATAGAATAAATAATGTATGTTATTCTATCTGCGGTGATAAGTTAATAACAGAGAATGAAGAATGCGATGATGGTAATCTAATTTATGATGATGGGTGCCATTAATGTAAATTTAATTGCCAAGACTCTTGTTTAATCTGCGTAAAAGGAGTTTAGATTGTATTGATGGTTATTAATTAATACAATCAAAGTGCTATTCGATTTGTGGAGATGGAATTTAAACATTCAATGAATAATGTGATTTCTTTGGAGAAGTAGATTAAAATGATGGATGCAAGAATTGTCTATTCTAAAATGATGAAAATTTTTAAGTTTTCAATTTTGGTCTCTGTTAGCTTTGTAAAGAAGGTTATGAAATATCTTTTATAATAACAATGTGTTAAATAATTAGATTAACCTTATGGAATTATTGATCATTGTTAATTTCCACTTAGCGATACTTGTGTAAAATGCGACCTAAATGCAGACTATGATATTTTTGAAGAAAAATGCAAAGTTAATTAGATAAAATTAACTTAATGTGAATTTTATATGAAAATATCTCCAAATCTTTATTGTAATAAATGTTTTCCTTTTTGCATTCAATGTTAGAATGAAGTTTGAGTAAAATGTTAAAAGGGATATTATCTAAATTAAAGAAATTAGTGTGTATCTCAATGTGGAGATGGAATACTTGCTTTTGATGAGTAATCTGAATTTAATGATAAGGATTGTTTTAGTTGTTGGATTTTAAAACCTCAATATTGTAAATATTTTCATGAAACTTGTTTACTTTGTTAATATGGCTATTATTTAGAACTTGTGAAAAATTCCTGTTACTCTATTTGTGGAGATAATATAGTTGCTTCGAATGAAGAATGTGAGGATGGTAATGAATTTAAATATGATGGATGTTATAATTGTAAATATCAATGCCAATAAGAATGTTCAGATTGTCAGTTGGGTAAGTGTGTTGAATGTGTGGATACTTTTGTTTTGAATAAGTCTATTAGTAAGTGTGAAGATTTGAAATTATGTGGAGATTAATTAGGACTATATTATGATAGTTATACTAATGATTGTATTCCTAGATGTGGAGATGGGATATTAGCTGGCAAAGAAGAATGTGAAGATAGTAATAGTGTTCCTTATGATGGTTGCTATGAATGTAATTATCAATGTGATAAGAATTGCACTAATTGCTAAAAAGGGATTTGTTTTGAGTGTATATTAGGATTGTATTTAAATCAACAAAAATGTGTGTCTAAATGTGGAGATGGAATCAAGAATGGAGAAGAGTTATGTGATGATCAAAATGATATACCTAGAGATGGATGTACTTAATGTAAAGTTGATCCAAATTATAAATGTTAAGAAGATAATAATAATTTAAGTTTTTGTTATAAATGTTAGGATCATTGTATTGAATGTATTTACAAAGATTCAACAATTACTGAATGTTTGAAATGTGATAGTGGATATTTTCTGAAAGATAATACATGTAATAAATGTTCAGATAAATGTAAAGAATGTGAGAATACTCCTAATAATTGTAAATTATGCACAACTCAAGATTGCTCAGTATGTAATAATATATCTGGTTTATATTTAGATAAATAATTATAATCATGTGTTACTAAATGTGGAGATAATATTATTGCAGGAATTGAATAATGCGATGATGGTAATAATATAGATAAGGACGGGTGTAATTCAAAATGCAATATTGAAAAAGATTTTATTTGTAAATAAGGTGTTTGCTATGAACCACCAAAAAAAACAATTGATTTTTCTTATAAGAATTCTACTACTACAAGTGATATTGATTTGTTATTTGATGAATTAGAATTAGAAGGTATATGCGATAAATTAAAAATCAATATAGATAAATTTTAATAAAATGAATTTAATTATACAGTTTTCAAAAAATCAGAGATTTAAGAAAATATGCCTGGATGTGAGATCAGGTTTAATTTTTTTCAAAACTATTTTAGAATCTAATTTCATTCATTTGTTCCTTTAATTAAAGATTCCAATAGAATTAGAATTCTAGATGAAGATGTTAGAGAAATTGTGATAATTCCTAGAAAAAAAGTCTATTATAATTAATAATAATAAGCCTAAGCAAAAAGTATAGTTTCAGCTTCAAGTACATATACATTTTTACTTCAATTTATTGGACCTTTAACTCTACTTTTAGGGGGATTTAATTTTTTTTGGACTATTTTAGATATTTTGACATGGATCAATAATTTCTATTTCCTAAATGTAGATTATCCCTTAAATGTCAAGATGTTTTTTAATTAATTAGAATGGGGTGATATAATAAATATACTATATGTAGTATCATTAAATTAACCAGATGATGCATATTATTTTGAAGCTCTTCCTAAAGATGTTAATCCTTTATTTTTTAATAATATTCAATTATTTTTTGCTTTGATATTTCTTGTGTTTTTGATGTATTTTTTATCAAGATCCTATTTTAATTTGATTAAATAAAAATATTATAACAAAACTAAAAGAATTCATTAAATAGAAATTTTCTCAATTAATTAGATATAATAATAATAATTCCAAACTGATCCAAATATAAGATCATAAGAGTAGATTATAAAATAAATCATTGAACCTAATATAAAACCTCCTCATATTTTAACATTAATTTATAAAGAGGCAATATGGTTTAATTCAAATTTTAGGGCTAAATTAATTTAAGTTATTGGCTTAGTTTTTTTAGATATTTGTTTAGCAAGTATATTAAAATTAAAATATTCAAAGAATTCAAAATTTGTAATCATTGTCATTAACATTATTTCAGCATATATAGGAATACTATTCATAGTTTTAGTTTTTAAATTATATAAATTTGTTTGTTCTCAACATCCAATACTCTATGAAAATAAATAATTTTCAGAAAGTTATTCCTCATTATATGAAGGAATAAACACTAACAACCTTTTAGCTAAAAATTATTGTATTGTAAACTTAATTCGTAAAGCATTGTTTATCTTCTTTACAGTTTATTTTTATGAATTACCATTGCTATAAACATCCTTTTGTTGTTTATCATGTTTTTCAAATTTAGCTTTAATTCTTTATCAAAACCCTTTTGAAAATAAAAAGATATTAATCTAAGTTGCAGTTCCTGACTTATGCATATTCATAATCATTTTCTTTACTGTTATATTAGCTATTCATGATGTTAGTTAATTATTAACTTTTGAAGAAAAGTACATGATTGGCTGGATTATTCTATTTTTCATAGGGTTCTCTATATTTGTACAATTAGTCTTTTTGTTCAAGCAATTTTACTAGGATATGAAAGAAAGATATTAATCCATAAAAGAATATATTAAGAAAAAAAAAGAACAAAGTCAAGGTTGATTGTTTAAATATTATTTAAAATTATTTAAATTTATTAATTTATTCTCTAATAAACATAAAATTAACATCTTAATTTAAATCATCAACTATCATTAACTTTTTTATTCTTTCTAGAAATGAAAAATTGAGGAATAAAATTCTTTAATAAAGATAATCTATCATACTTCTGAATTTACATCTAGTAATCAATTTAGTTTTTGTCAAATTAACTTTAAAATTATAGAATTCAGCTAAACCTATAAATGTCATAGATATTTCATCTATATATTATGATTTGCAACAATTGCTAAATCATCTGCATAAGCTATTATCTTAACACCTTCATAAAACCCTCTCTAATTCCTTCTTACCTTAATTTCATACGAATCAAAATTTAATTTAGATCATATTGGAAAATCGTGTAATTATAGGCTAAAAAGATTGCTTTATTGGTTTATTTTTCTCTATAATTTAAATGAGCAAATAAACATTTCAGACCTCAAAGGTTAGGATCAAGCTAAATAGATTAAAGAATTAATTTTGTGGAAGATATAAGTTCTATTTAATTTTTGAATTCTATCTCAAATGAGGAGTCTCAAATTTACTTTATATTATTAATTTATTGATTTAACCAAAATATGCCGATTTTCGAATCTGAAATTACTCTCATATATTCAAATCATTCATATTGAAAGAATTTAAAAGAAAATGTTTAATGATGTTAGACAAATTATACTAGATTCAACAGATATTTTACAAAGAGCTGCTCTGACCAAAATTGGATTAAAAATTATAATTTTTTTTCTATAGGCCTGGAACCATCACTTAACCAGCTGTTAGAGCAAATAAAGCATCAGGAAATGAGTAAATCACTAAAAAAATCAAAAATTAATTTTTATATTATAAATTATTAGTGTTATAAAAAATAAAAATTGAGATATATAAATAAGAAACAGGACTATTTTTTAATTAGAATGTAATTATTAATTAAATTTATAAGAGCTAACGCTTTGATATCTCAAGTAATATAAATACATTGTTAAAATTATGAAGATAATAAATGAATTAAAATCCATATTCTAAGGCGAAACGAATTTCAAAGTGATATTTTAATTCCATTAATTTTTGTAAATTAATTTATTAGATTTATAAAGAATTTTTGGGCTCTTTGCCAAAACTAGATGTAGTTTGAAATAAAATTTCGAAATCATTTCAAGATAGGTTGAATATCATTTACTACAAAATTATTTTTAATATTAATCAAAATATCTCACTAAAAAATCAACTTGAACTAAATTTGCAATGAAATTGGTATAAAATGATAAACTACTTAATATGGATTGTTTTATTATATTAGTTAGTTCGATACTCAGTCAATATCTAAAAGACAAAAAAAATCTAGATTTAAAATTATAATTGAATAACTGAATCTAATTCTTCAAAAAATATAAACTACAACCCCTAAAAATTCCTAATGCTAGATACTAATTCAATGATTCTTATCTTATCATTATTTACTGTTAAAATATTATACTAAAGTTTTTGTATTAAATCTATTAGATGATAAATTGTATATATTATTATTCATAAAACTAATCTTAGATTTAGATTAAATATACTAAAAATTATAAAACATTACTATTATGAATGTTTTCATTAATAGAATTATTATAATGTCAATTCAAAATATTAATAAAGTTAAACAATATTATATATTGAATCTGATTAAACCAAACAAATACACTATATAAATCTTTCGTTATTCAGATGATGAAGTTATTGTTATTTTTATGGATATTTATAATCAAAAAGCGTAGAAGGCTTATATTTTTATGATCGACATATATTATGAGCCTAAAGTATTCCCTCCTCGATTGTAAAATCTCAATCCTGATGCAAATTAATCAGAAAATTTTGCAACCATTATAGTTGGTTAGGCAAAACCATCAAAAATAATTTTTTCAGTCTACCCATCCTTTGCTATTGTGAATACTTGAATGTCTGTTTATCTAGTATCACCATCCCACATCCAAAATCTTACTGTATTTATTTCATATGCTTATAAAAATTACACAATCATTGATTCACCAAGTTCCGCAACAACATGTCCTTATTTAACAGGTTCAGGGTAATGATAGAGCAAATTTCTTAAAGGACTATTATCAGCTCCTTGTTCCCAATACCAAGTCGTTCTTGCTGAGGATAGTAAAGCACCATTGAACTGCGAAGCTACATCTTTGTAATGTCCCCTAATAATAGATTTTTCTCTTAAAACATAAAGATCATTTTAAGAAAATTTTGCATTAGCATCAGAAGCTGGTAATGTAGAAAAATCTGAGAGCCCTAATAAGAAAAAAAAAAGCAATAATTTCATTAAATATTTTAATCTAATCAAATAAAATAATAGAAAGTTTTTATTATTAATATTTTTTAGATTGTAATATAGTGAGGTGTAAGAAAATGCTTAAAGAAAATATATAATTATTTTTTGATTAGTTGAAACTAATCCTTCCAATATCTATTTTGCATAAATAAATAATTGACTATTCATTTTCTTAAATTGCTTCATGTTTATAATATGTTAGTTAACTACAGTCAAAGATTTGAATCTCTTTAATAAAACAAATAAAAACATTTCTCATTTGCTGAATATAATAATTTATGGATTTATGAACAATTATTTTGATTAATTATTTCAATATCTATTAAGTGCTGATTCATTATTTATATTCTTACCAAGACTTTAATCTCTAGAGAGAACTAAATTCAAGTTTATTTGTTTACCAAAATTCACTTATTGTGTTTGAAAAAAAGCTATTAGGCTTTCCTAAAAGTTTCACTCTATTGAATTAAATCATATCTTATAAATAAGATTTATCTTATTTTAGAATTCTTATATTCAGATTTTCAAAGTGAGTTACTGATCCTCTTTTCCACTATAGATACACTAAATCATATGATTGAAACTATCAAATAGATATTACATTTGCTCTTAAGTTATCAATTTAATATCACAATTTATTAATCTCATTGATAGGTTAATAATAAGAGATTCAATAATATAATGAACATGGGCCAAAAAATTATAAGAAAAAAATTTTTTAATTATTTTGAAAGATCATCTCCATATATGTATTTTTTCGGCAAAGCAATGATTTATTATTTCACCGTTAAAAAATGATTGAATTTAGCAATTATATTATTAGGTTTATAATTTTAAATATATCTTTATAATAAATAATGTCATGAATCTCTAAAGAAATTTTTTAGGCTTTCAATTTTGTAATCATAATTTCCTATTCAATTAGCGAAAAAATTGAAATTAAATAATCATAATATGACAATTGAATATCATACTCAATAGAATGGATTCTTTAAGTATTATCTTAGAGAGGGTTAGTTAAATTTTGTAACTTAGAATATTATGATTTCCCTTATTGAAATTGATACAAAAGATAAATATTTTAATCAAACTATCATATTTTTCACATTAAATAGCAAGATTATCAATAATATTTTCAGAAAAATAGGTTAAGTGCCTTTTTTTGAATTTAAATAGATATTTATCTTAAAAATTTATGATATTCCTTAAGCTTGTTATCTACATACTTGATCTCAAATTATAATCCTCACATAATACACTCAAAAAAAAAATCATTAGTCAACTTTGTAGGGATATATTATCACTCATTTTCTATAACATTTGATCTGATAACTAAATTTGTTAAAGTAAGAATATTTAAAAATTTTGTCAAAAAAAATACTTTTAGTTTAAGTTTATTTTAAGTAGTCATTTGTTATTCTTGAAGTTTTATTCCTTAGAGTTGAAAAAGAATGAATTAATGTGACATTGTTTTTTGGGAGGTTAAAATGGAACTTACTCTTAATGAATAAATCACTTATGTACAGAATCAAGAGTCGCAACTTCGAAATTTGAAGCTAAAAAAAGTATACTCAATGTTAAGCAAATATTTTATTATTTATATGAAGGTTTGAAAGATATGAAATAAACAAATCAATTTATCTTGAAGAGGAGTTAGGTGTTATGAATCTACAAATTTTATTAATTATTATATGCGTTTTCAGAAAAGTTTAATTTGAATATAAATGAACTAGATTCCATTGGAATTACTCTACTTTCTAAAATAATAATCTTTAATTTTCCTTATTTTTAACTTTATCCTTTTTCCCAATTTCAATATTATTTCTTTTGGATTGATGAGATTAGATAACAATTATTTTAAAGGAGAATATCAATAAATAATTTGAAATCCAATTTTAAATATTAAATTAATATTCTCTAATTTAAGGATATCAGAAATCAAGAATAAAAAAATCAGACACAAGGTAAAGCTATAAGTTTTAAGAGCTTAATCTCAATTAATAGGAAAATCTATCTCACAAATAAAGATTATCAGAATTTGAGGTAAAATTTTTGTTTAAATTAGTAATTACTATATGTATTTGAGTTGTTTTAGTGAAAAAATAGATGTATTATTAGTAAATTAAAAAAATATTAACAAATTGCAAGCTAATTATTCTGCAGAACTTATGAATTTCTAGCCATTCATTTTACCTTCATAAATAAGTTTCATTTTTAATTTACTAATCTTCTAATTATACTCTTACGATAGTTCCTTAGCGATACCTCATTAAAATTTAAGCAAAAATTCTCCAAAATTTTGTTATAAATTTAAATTTCATATTGTCCTCAATAACGGCAAGTTAGGCTGATATCTATCTAATTGATTTTATATTTCATCACATCTAGAGGTTTCTATACATTGATAATTTTCAAATAGTCACTACTAAGCTAATCCTAAAATATCGTACACCTAACACCATTACATTATTATCCAATGGACCATAAATAAATAAGTTGCAATTCAACCTTTCCAAATAACATTCCTCATTATTATCATCTAATATAATCACTATCAATTGACTATAAGAATTGTTTAAGATTCTAGTTCTCTAAAAATCTATAATCCTAAATTAAATAAGTTGTTAAAGATATAAAA